GATTACTGGAACCATGTCCTGTGGTCTGATGAGACCAAGATAAACTTATTTGGTTCAGATGGTGTCAGGCGCGTGTGGCGGCAACCAGGTGAGGAGTACAAAGACAAGTGTGTCTTGCCTACAGTCAAGCATGGTGGTGAAGCAACCTGTGAAGCTCTGGTGAACTCCATGTCTAAGAGGGTTAAGGCAGTGCTGGACAATAATGGTGGCCACACAAAATATTGACACTTTGGACATTTTCACTTAGGGGTGTACTCACTTTTGTGGCCAGCGGTTTAGACCTTAATGGCTGTGTGTTGAGTTATTTTGAGGGGACAGCAAATTTACACTGTTATACAAGCTGTACACTCACTACTTTACATTGTAGCAAAGTGTCAATAAAGTATAATAAAATACTAACAAAAATGTGAGGGGTGTACTCACTTCTGTGCGATACTGTGCGTGTGTGTTATATATATATTAGTTGAATACTATTTTGTTTAATGTTAAATAATATGAAATTTTACATATAATTTTATATAGTTTATTATTTGTAAAAAGGCAATATTATATACACGTGTGTTAATATTAAAGATATATAGTTAAATATTATGCTTGTTTAATGTTAAATTTTATTAAATATATTAGTTTTATATATAATTTTATATAGTTTATTTGTAAAAAGGCAACATATATATATATACACACCCACACGTGTGTGTTAATATTTAAAAGAAGATATACTGTATAGTTAATGTTTATATATAATGTTAAACAATATGAAATCTACATTTTATATAGTTTTACTATATTATATTTAAAAAAAAAAAAAAGATGATATTCTGCAAAGATATTTTAGAATTTGACATTGTTACAAAATATTTCTATTTCGAATAAGTGCTGTTGGGCTTTCTATTTAACAAAGAATCCTGAAAAAAATGTTTCAACAAAAATATTAAGCAGCACCACTATTTTCAACAACAATATAAGAAGACATGTTTCTTAAGCAGCAAATCAGCATATTACAGCGATTTCTAATAGCCTTGGTGAAAATAAGAGCTAGAAAATTTTGAACAGTGGTGTACTTGCAATATATTTACACTGTTTCAGTAATATAGTCTCATCTCTTGTTTGTGGATGTTTCTATGTTTTTACTCATTTAAGAAATGAATTTTTCATCCCCAGTGTGTTTTCAGTAACTTCGTACACGATGGATGTGGTTTCACCTGAGCTCAACAGCCTCCTCCCTGATGAGATTATGGATACGGAATCCATCGCGATGGAAGAAGAGCTCCCCGCCGAGCACCTCGCTGCTCCTCCCCAATCTGAACCAGAGCCGCTGCAGGTTCCTATGGAGACAGAGCTGCCTGAAATCGTCAGCTTGTGTCCAGCCACCACGTCTATGAAGATGACCTCCACCGACGCTCAGTGCAGCACCAGCTCAGGAACTCAGCTCCTCCTCGCCCCCTCCAACCTTATATCCGGCACTACCACCTCTGCCAAAACCACCGGTCCTGCGGTGACTCAGAACCTCCCCAAAATCCCCAGCGTTACGGTCCCGGCCAACCACCAGCTCATCATCAACAAATTGTCCGGCACCCCCGCTGTGGTTAGCAAGTCTCCAGGCGCTGCTGTGCTCAAGCCAGAGGGCCAGAAACTCTTGGTTGCTGGCCTCAGTAAAACAGGGCAGCCCATTATGTTGGCTCTCCCTCACACTTGGAACAAGCCCGCCACTACCCAGGGCACAGGAGATGTTAAGGCCCAGCCGACGCAGATCAAACTGATGACGACAGTAGGGAAGCCTGTGATAGCGGTGAGCTCAGGCAGTCAGCTGATGGGCAGCTCCACCACACTGCAGGCGCAGCAGCTCAAAACACTTCAGGTGGGTGTTAACTAGGGCTGGGCGATATAGCTAAAAAATGTATCAGCGATATAATGTTTCATATCGTTCGGTATCGATAATTATTGACATTTTTTATAACCTTTTTTTAAAACAAAGAGCAATAGAAAAAAACGTTTAACTTTAACCACTGTATTTTTAAATTTAATAAACCCAATTTATTGAGACAAACAACAAATATTTTTTGTTTTAACAGTCAAACACAAAATAATTTCTAATGTTTTATATGCAGATTAAATGGGTCTGAAGGAAACTTTTGGCTTGTCTCCCAAAGCCACAGGAGGGCGCAATGAGCAAAATAATAGCGCATTAAATTGCCAACGCAAAGGAAATAACGGTCTATAAAAAGAAAAACGTGCATTACGTCTAAATTAACTCATATAAATCAAACATAATTTCGTAAATTGCATAAACAATTATGAACAAAACAGCATCATGTGTTTATGCATTGCTTAATACAAAGAGCCGAATCGCCATCACACAGATTGCCTTTAAAAACATAAGAGATGCAGTGAAACGGAATAAACCTCCACAAATTCGTGACGTGTTTTCTAAAAGTTTAAACTGTTTTAACTTTGCATGGCTTTCTATACATCTCTTGTGAGACGTGAGTGCAGCAGTCATATTTGTCCATCTAGAAAATGCGCTGAATATGCGTTCTGTGTGAATGGCTTGGTTTCGGTTTTAACATAATCAAGATCTTCTACGCGTTGAGCTTCTATATTTCTCTAATATTTTAAATGAATGACGCAGCAACTGCGCGTCTTGTGGGCTAGACTTAAAAAACATTCAAATGCAACAAAGTCACTTACATCATCATCATCACCGCATCTCGTGCTGCACTGATGACGCTCTCTGACGCACTCCTTACATTTGATTGTACTATTTTTGCATTCAAATGCAAATGTTTTTTAAATTTGATTATATTCATTCTTTATTCACAATCTCCTCATCACGGGCAGGCACAGCACTCAATTCAGCATGTGTTCATGTTTGTGTGAGCGGTCTGCGTCACTCATAGCACGTGCCTATATATCGTGCGTTATATCGAACATTTTTTCTATCGTTATCAAAGAAGGTGTACCGTCGATAAATATCAATACCGTTTTATCGCCCAGGCCTAGTGTTAACAACCTTTCATTAAAACACTGATCATGCAGACATTGCAGAAAGGAAGCATAAATATTACCATTTTATTTTAACACCCTTGGCCACAGTTTCTTATAATTTTCTATTTTTTGTTGTTGTTTTTAATAAGAAATGCCAAGGTGTTGCCTAATATGAAAATCTTTTTTTTACAAGCTTACAAGGGTACTTGTGATCTTACAAGGGTAAATAAAGAACTGGGGCCGGTTGCAGACTGGTCATAACTTACTATATTCCGTTAAGAAAAGGTAGACTGGTCTTATTTGTATTGGAAAAGTAAGACTGATAACCACTTGGCAACTACTAGTAAGTTTTGTGTAGTATTTTCTTTACTAAACTATGTCTAAAAAGGGTAATATTTTATGTATTTGAGGTCTGAAATGTGGGAACAGTGAAGAGAGAGGGCAAACATTTTTCATTTTAGGTCAGCATTGCCGTCTTAATCAGCCAATATTGTCTTAAATATCCTGTATAGCACTTAATCTTTTATAACATGGGATTTTGACCAAATATATTCAATCTTGATTTTTGTAAAATGCTGCAACAAGATGTTATTTTTTTATTGTTTAAATTTTTTTGTGTGTGTGAGAAATTTCTGGTTTTGACATGCGGTAATAAAATTATAATTTTTTTAAATACCTTAAAGAAACTGCAAATGAGCATGTAAAACAAATATCTTTTAAAAAAAAAAATCCATGTGGAGCATGCCCTTGGTTCTCATCTTTTTTCCCCCTTAGCTGTTTGCATATCTGATTGTTATTTATAGTCATTTTTCAAAATAAAAAAAGTAAAAATGCTATTTTTACTGTATTTTTAATGAGCGGTTTTTGCTTATTATTTATAATCATTTAAAGCCATATTTGTTTTCTTTTAATGCAAAAAATAACCTTTTTTTTTACTTGTAAGGTAAATTGCCTGTTTATGAATTATTGTTAATATTAATTATCTTTATAGTCATTTGTTGTTGTTGTAATTATTATATTACATATTTGTAAATGTTTTTCTATAAGGGAAAATGCCTTTTGTTACTATATGTGACCCAGGACCACAAAACCTCTTAAAGTCTTAAGTGTCAATTTTTCAAAATAGTTTATTAATCATCTGAAAGCTGAATAAATAAGCTTTCCATTGATGTATGTATTGGATTTTGGTTTGTTAGGATAGGACAATATTTGGGCGAGATAAAGCTATTTGAAAATCTGGAATCTGAGGGAGCAAAAAAATCTAAATATTGAGAAAATAGTCTTTAAAGTTGTCCAAATGAAGTTCTTAGCACTGCATATTACTAATCAAAAATTAAATTGATATATTTACGGTAGGAAATTTACAAAATATCTTCATGGAACATGATCTTTACTTAATACTCTTAATGTTTTTTGGCATAAAATAATAATACAATGTATTTTTGGCTATTGCTACAAATATACCCCAGCGATTTAAGACTGGTTTTGTGGTCCAGGGTCACATATTTTTAAAATTAGCTATTTATAATATATTTATAGTAATTTTTAAAATATCTTTTGTTTTATTTAAAAAACTTATTTTTAAAAATAAAATATTTATCAAATAAAAAGAAAATAAATTTGTTTAACTGTATTTTTAAAATCATCGATTATATTCAATATATTAACTTAAAGTCATGTTTGTACTTTTTAAAAAAAAAAATTTATTTCTCTTTCTGTAAGGAAAAATGGCATTGGTTAATTTAATGACCTTAAAGTGCAATCTTATTTCCTGTTCAGTGTCTATCATAGGCGGCTGAAATAATTGCCAAGTATCGTATTTCTCCTCACAGTTCACAAAGAAGGCCGCAGTATCTACAGCTGGACCGATGATTACAAAGCTCATCATCACAAAAGCCCTGAACAATAAAGGACTGTCCAGCCCAGCTTCTGTGGCTCCTGTAGTGACTGGTACTCTTCTGTCTGTCTTTATAAAATATACCATGAGCAAGAGTGCTTTTTGTTTTAACAGCACAGCTGTGGCATCTAAATTTGAATTCCCTTTTTTTGTCCACAGGGCGAGTTGTTACCCAGAGTACTCCAGTGACACCTCCACGCAACATCACCTTTGGTGAGACCATCAGCACTGTGCCACAGAATACGTCTGGTAACAGCAAAGTCGCCATCTCACCTCTCAAGTCTCCCAGCAAGGTCTTAAATCTTTTAAATGTAAAAACTGGCATTGCAATTTCATTCGCCTGTCTTTGTGATGCCAATTTTTTTCTCAATGATGGCCACTCTTGGGTTTCTGACATCAGCCTCTTCCTCACGTTTCTCCTGTCTGTAGCTGACTGTGGTTTCGGTGGCCAGTCAGTCTCCAAACTCGCCTCAGAAGTCTGTGACGCTGCCGCTCAGCGTGGCTCTGGGCCAGCAGATCCTCACTGTTCAACAGTCTGCCGCCACCTCTCCAGCTAAAGCTGGAACCAGCCAGTCCACCGCACAGGTACGTCCAACCAGAGCCCTCACAAACCAAACCAGTTTGCTATACTGTCAAATATAGATTTTAACTGCCCCATTCTGCAATAGCCTGTATTAAAGTGTAATTTGTGTACAACAACAGCACTATATTTTAATGCTGATTTCTGTGTACAGACTGTAAAGCCAGTGCAGACGGTGGGAGGAGTGGGAACATCCCAGTTTAAGACCATCATCCCCCTCACCACACCTCCCAATGTGCAGCAGATCCAGGTGCCGGGCAGCCGCTTCCATTATGTGCGTCTGGTAACGGCCACCACCGGCAGTAGCACCGCACAGTCGAGCGGCAGCACCAACACCAACCCTTCAATCCATCCAGGTGAGTATATCAACCCTTCCAGTTCTGGTTCCGCTTTCTCTTAATGATTCTATTTCTGTTTAAGAATACTTTTAGTACTTTTATGGAATAAATAATTGGGTTAAAAAATGCAATTCCATTTGCCAAATAGGGCTGATCAGTTTTTTCTCTTTATTTAGCCTACATATAAACAATCAGGTGCATAGAAAGAAAAATCTAGAAAAATCTGCGAGTCACAGACATGTTTTGCATGTCTCTGTGTGAATAAGTGATGCTGTTTCTGGTCTACACGTACTCGAGCACGTGGTGTTTTCAGCATCTGTCATCTCACGTTATGAGGACATGAACACATGAACATGTCATTTCACAACTATTTAATTTGATAAAAGCCATTAAACGTACACTACAACTTAAAAATGACCTATTATGCCCCTTTTTACAAGATGCTAGAATAAGTTTTAGCTCAAAATATTCCACAGATCATTTTTTAAAGCTTGTTAAAATTGCCACTTTAGGGTATAAGCCAAAACGTGCTGTTTTTGTGTTTGTCCCTTTAAATGCAAATGAGCTGGTGCTCCCAGCCCCCTTTTCAGAAGAGGGCGGAGCTTCAAGAGCTCGTGCTCTGTCATATCGGCAATAACAAACAATCTCACACACTGAAAATGTCAGAAACTCTCAAGTGGTCGACTTCACATTGCTTTCATATGCAGTTTTTAACTACCACATTCCTATTTACGATGATTCTGGTAGCACGTGAAGGCAGCACCAGTGAAAACAGGCAGAGACAATGGTAGCTTTAGCAACATTAGCCTTACTGAGTGCCAAGAAGCTCTTTCAGAAAGGCAATTTGGAAAACAAAATATGACGCACTTACTCTATCTGGAGCTGATGTTCGTGCACGAAGCGTTGGTATTGATCCCTCTTTCATAATCAACTTTTGTAAAAATCCAGCGTCACCGTAGGGAGAAATCTGGAGTCGCTTGTTCTGAGAGACTGTTTTTGATTTATTGGGATTATAAAAAAATGAATGGGTGGATTTTTACCATTATAGGCTGGTTGGTTTTCACACTGCGGCCACACTGTTCAAACATCTTATAAAAGTGATTTTTGCAAGATAGGTCCCCTTTAAAGGTCTTTGCAACGAACTGACAAAATAATAGTTTGCTTAAACTTACCACAGAAATGTATTACTCTTTGATAGTAAATCATATTTCTCAATAATAATAAAAAAGGATATTTTTCATCCGTTTTAATTTATACAGTATAAGTTCTTTTGTGCAGCACCATGTTAGACAAAAAAGTGTTTTGTTGTTCTAAAAGACTTAAATTGTAAATTTTATAAATTAATTTCATAATTCTATAAATGTATATTAAACCATAAAGCTTTTATTACTTTATTATATGAATTGTTAGTCTTTTTAGAGGTGTGTAAATGCAATCCATCAATTGGCCTAAACTGTATGTTGAATAACTAACTTGAATGTTGTAACTTTTTTTTTTTTGTGACAATGCATCATGTGTAGTACTGTTTGTCATGAACAGTATCAATAACTACATTGATTTCAGTCTCAGTTAGATGTAAACTGTTTTTGATTAAATAGAATCAACCCGTAAGGTTTATCTTTTCAGGTGTTAAATTATTACCCTGAATGTGTCTGATTTAGTTAAAAGAACCATAGGAGTCTTTTAATTCTGTGATCAAACTGCACTTTACAGATTTAGAAGAACTGGTTTTCAGTTCCCAACCGTACCCCTGTGACAGTCTTTCAAAATATTTAGTTACATAATTCCTGTTTTAGGCGATGGTCCGTCAATATGCAACCCTTTTATTGTTTTTATAATGGGTGCACTGCAACGATCCATTTTTAAGAATGACTTTAATGATAGGATTGAAAATGAATAGGCTCATAAGTGATTTAAGAAAATTCAATAATATATCTACTGTTGTGTTGTTACAAAGCCAAGCCTGTGATGATGAACGCTGCAGTACGGATGTCTGTACCCATTGTCTCAGCACAGACCATCAAACAGGTACACAGTCAAACACCTTGCTCACTACACACAATTAAACAGTGACATCATTGTTACGGATGGTTGTGCAGCTTTTGGGCTTTTTGCTGTTTGGTTTAATGCCGATAATCTGTAGCAGAAACTGCACGATTAATCGTTAAATGATTGCAATCTCGATTCAAATGAAAACGATTCGCCCTTGTCTATTAAGCCTTTGGAAAAAGTCATACCAGAACATTCAAATCTGTGTTTGTGCAGCCGCTGATACAGATAGTAGACAGTTAGCATGTTTAGGTAGGAAACAGCTTCACAAACAGTCTTTTCAACTACACCGTATTATTTCTGTTTTACAGTCATTCATATTATCACAAATACTGAGATGAAAGTTTTTAGTTCGGATATAAATATTGGTGTCTATGGTAGCGATCTAAATGGAGCAAGTCATCTTTTGAAAGTAACTGGCGCTGCAAAAAACATTTGTGTCGACTGCATAAAAGTGACTGTTAAAAAATATATTTGTCTTTGAATCATTCGTTCAAGAGATTCGTTCAAAAACACCAATTCATCCAGTAATGAAACAAGTGAAGTACTTATGAGTCATTGAACCATTCGTTCAAACCACCTTTTCATAATTTTGAAATAAAAAATTTGGTGTATTAAATATATTATATTTTAAATGCTTATTATATATTAAAATATTTAATAATTCATTCAAATTAATTAAACATTTTTAAATAGATTGCAGCAGTAAATATTTTCACACTTTAGTTTAGTTCAGAATCGTGGGAGAATCGTGATCTCAGTTTGAGACAAAAATTGTTATTCTCAATTTACCCAGAATCGTGCAGCTCTAATTTTACATATACTTGATCATCTTTTTGTACACAGGTAGTACCCAAACCCTTGACGTCAGCAGCCCAGGTGGTGACCACCAGTCAGACGCCCCAGCGTCTCATCATGCCAGCCACACATCTGCCACAGATCCAGCCCAACCTCACCAGCCTGCCGCCGGGCACTGTGCTCGCCCCCGCCCATGGCTCTGGAAACATGGGCTACGCTGTGTTACCGGCCCCATACGTTACGCAGGTCTGTATATCTGCGATGGAGCAGGACATATGAGTTTGGCTGGTTGTTTTTGTGGGATTGTCTCACCTAGCTTGTTCCCATAGATCCCTCAACCTGCGTTTGTGACTTTGACCAGCAGCTCCACCTTCTCTACAGCCACCCCTATACAGACTCAAGCCAGGCTTTCACTTAACGGGTGAGCCGAGCGCCACGTTCCACACTGTTACTTGTGTGTATGTGTATAAAGGTGCATCTCAATAAATTAGAATGTTGTGGAAAAATTCATTTATTTCAGTAATTCAACTCAAATTGTGAAACTCGTGTATTAA